CAGAAAGGTCAAAAAAAGGTTTCTGAACCAAGTTAAAATTGGGGATAGATGTTTTGACTCAGTTGATGCTATTGCTGGTCAAAAATGAGCATAACTGGTTGCAAATACAGTTATGTTCTAAGGACATGGCAAACAAGCTGGATGATCAATGTCAACCTATGTAAAACATTACTGGTTGATGATGATTGGTGCTCCCAGTCCCATTAATATGGTGAGGCGATTAATGCATGCAAAAGTGGGCTCAGTGTGCACTATGTGGTGCAAACCTGATTGAACAGAAAATATGTCCTTAACCTGGTATGGTCTTGACTCTGACATTAGACCACATCAGAAAAATCACGATTATCCCCCCCCCCCCCCCCCTCCCCAACCCTTTCCAATGCAAGGCAATTAAGTGGTGATGTAGTTATATCCCTTCCCAATCGCCCCCCTTCAGGAATTGCGAAGAAGTTGCAGATGACCGTCAGAACGAATGTGAACCTTCCTTGTCCGCTGGCACTTGCAGCAGCTGATGCGCGTGCGCGCTAACGTCGACGGCGCGTGGCGGGCAGATTTGGCGCGGCCGCCGATGACTGCAACGGCGCGCGGCCGGGCTGAAGCAGTCTGGCGCCGCCGGCGGGCGTGGCTGTCCGCCGGCGCCGTCGTGCCACCCGCTTCCTCGCCGCCAGCTTTCTGAAGCCCGAGCAGCGGCCCGGCGAGGCCACGCGCAGCTCCGGCTTCCGGTCGACTCAAGGTTCTTCGGCAGAGGGTGAGCTGGTCGGCGCCGCGGCGGCGTGCGTAAGGGGCACGCTGTGGTCGCGTATGGCGCCGCCGGGGCCAGGCCCGTGTGAGGCGGGCAACTGATCTCTATGTGGGCGTCGCCCCACGCTGGACAGTAGGTAGGGTGAATGAAGCGGGGAAGATGTGGCAGATGCCCCCTTTCGCATTAGCGTATCGTAGCAATGCCAACAGTCGCACGGTTTCGTTGTTGTGTTGATTTGCTCATATTCGGCAGTGGAACTTTTATTGTTGGTGAATTTTACTATCATTTCTCTGCACATTGCTTTCCCCTGCAAGGCCTCACCCAAGCCGTAAGTGCAGCGCCCGGGCTTGGCGTACTGACCGTGCCGGCTGGTCCGCAGACGGTCACGTGCTGCTGGAGCTGTCGCCACGGCCCGCCGGACGGCTGGCAGCGGCGCTGGGTGGCCGTCAGCCGCGACACCTGCTGGCCGCCGACGACGGGTCGCCGCGCCTGTGGACACCATCGCCGCTGGCGCCGGTACGGACGACCGGCGCGACGGACACGCCGGTACGGACGGCCGGCGCGACGGACACGGGGGCTCTGGCGCCGGTACGGACGGCCGGGCCCCGGACACAGGGACTCTGGCGACGGTACGGACGGCCGCGCGACGGACACGGGGGCTCTGGCGCCGGTGCGGACGGCCGGGGTGACGGACACGGGGGCTCTGGCGCCGGTGCGGACGGCCGGGGTGACGGACACGGGGGCTCTGGCGTCGGTGCGGACGGCCGCGGCGCCGGTACTGACGGGCCAGGGCGACAGACAGGGGGGCTCCGGCGCCGGTGCTGACGGCCCGGGCGACGGACACGGGGCTCCGGCGTCGGTACGGACGGCCGGCGGGCTCTCGGCGGACACGGGGCTCTCACTCTCACAAGCCAGGGAAGGCTTACGGGATCGGGCAGGAACAAGTGCGAGGACCTGTGATGTGTTTTTTTTTGTGGTGATTAGTTTGTCGTGCTTTTGTATTAGCTCACCGATCACAATTTTCCATCAGAGGGATTGATGGGTTATTATCGTATTAAGCTCTGATCACTTGGCTCTAGCGATCTGATGCAAGAACGTGCGTTGTGTGCTCTACCTTGTGTACTGCTACGTTCAAAGACACGCAATCTCGATACGATGCACTCTGTTTGGTTACGTCTTGCTGCCTGTTCCAAGCGGCTAGGCGTGGTTTCTGTGATGGGGAGACTTGCCTCGCATTGCTTACCGCCAGCTATTGCTTCGCTGTTGGCCCGACAGATGGCCGATCATCGCCGGCCACCACGGCCGCCGCCGGCTGGGCGTCGGAAGCAGTGTTCGCCGCGTCGGCGTCCGGTTGGCACGCTGCTCTGGCAGGGCCGGACCGGCGGCGCCGGGTCGGACCAGGCCGCCAGGCGGCGCCTCGGTCCGGCGGCCGCGGCACGCCGCCGCCCCGGCCAGCCTCCGCGCCGGCAGCGCCGGGCCGGCCGGCCGCCGGCGGCCGAGCGCGCGGGACCCGGCGGCGCGGGACCCGGCGGCGCGCGCCGCCGGGTTGGTGGCCGCCGTGCAGCGGCTGGCCGAGCGACGGCCAGCGCTGCGGGGGTCGCCGCGCTGGCACGCCCGGCACGCCGGTCGCGTCCGCCGCCCGACAGGCCCCCCGGAAGCGGCCGCCCGACGCCGGCCGCGCGCCACGCGCCGCCCTGCGCCCTGCGCTCGGCGCCGGCGCGCACAGAGCGTCGATGGTGCATAGCATCGACTCGCCTGCTGGCGGCGTCGGGCCGTCCGGCCGAGCCGCCGCCGCCGGCGCCGACGGACGGGACGCCGCCGTACCGGAGCGCTCCGCTCGTGGCGTACCTGGAGGCGGCGGCGACCGGGGCGCGGCTGTGCGCCGTGCCGCCGCCGACCGACTGTCCGGCGCCGTTCCCTCTGGTCTCGCCGCTGCTGTACGCGCGGCTTAGCCAGACGGCCGTGCACCGGCCGGTGCCGCTGCTGCCGCGGCCCAGCCCCGCCCACCAGGCTCCACTGCACGCGTTCGCCTTCGACTACGGCCAGTGCCGAGACGGTAAGCGCCCGGGTGTAGTGGGAAGCTGTGTGGTGGTTGAAAATATGTAGTAAGGAAATTTTCTTGGACGATCTATGGATGGCTCCAGTGCTGCTGACTTCCTCCTAGTATCGTTAGAGGCTGGCTGCCTGCCTGTTTTTGCCTGTATTTCGTCATGGCCACATATACAGAGGTGTTAGGTATCAAATGAACGTACGTAATTACCCCTAAAATGAGGAGGGTTGAGAGATCAATGTGCTCGGCGGACCTGTCCCGCTCGCCCTCGTAACGCTCACGTACTCTCCTTTTTCAGAGGCACCCTTGAATCTGTCGAAGAGGTAGCACCAGGTGCTGCCACTTTCTCCTCTGCCTCTGTCCACTCCTGCAACCCAGCGAGGCAAGCTGAAAAACCCTTTGCCGACTAATGGTCTTTCGGTGACAGGTCATGCGGCGTGACGTCACTCGTCAATCCACTCGTCAGCATGCTCGTACGAAGCCTTGTCTACCTGATAATTTTGTACCGCCTTTTCTACTGAGCGATCTCTCACTTCGGCGCGTGGTTTGCGCCGCGTCTCCGCCTCCGTCCCGACCGTTGCTGTTCATGAGGAGTTCCACGGGGTGCCCGGCCGCGTGCTGTTCGGGCCGGACCGGGGTCGCCGGGAAGTGTGTGTGCCGGCAGCCAGGCGCCGCCACTGTGCCATCTCTAGTGCGCCAGCCGCGGAGCGGTCCGCCTCCGCCGGTTCGGCGGCACGCGTTGGGGAGGGGGGGGGGGGGCCCGCTGGAGCTCGACAGGCCAGCGATCTCAGTTTGGCGCCCGCGCCGGCCTGCGGCGGTCGTTGTTTTGTTTCGCTGCCGTGGAGGGAGGCGCTTAGAAGCGTTATTTGTTTGTTATCCAGGTGACACTGCGTTAGTGTGCTTGTTTCGTGCTGATCTGCTTGCCTGTACTGGTGTACCGGCGCTCGCCCGTGTGTGTTTGTGTGGGGGGGGGGGGGGGCATCTGGGGCCCAGGAGCGACCAATGCGCGGTCCCGACGCTTCCCATGATTCATTATATGGAACTGTCCAGACCATTGGACTCCATTTGTGCCGCTATGCTTTCTTCTCAGTGCCTTGGAAACCGCCATAGAGTGAGCGTACAATACCCTCATTACTCGTGCCAACTGCTTAGTGAACAGATTGCGTTTATACTTGTCGAAGTCGTCGAATATGTCTCTACGTGTATTTATTGGGCAGCCAGTTGAATGCAGACCAACTTTTCACTGCATTCAGATGTATTGCTAGTGTAGATAGTGTTGCTACAGCAAATGCACAAGTACAATCATACAGCTGTTTATTTTGGGGGCATGAAGCACACCGTTCTGATTTGCGTCAAGCACTGGCATGAGCCATTGCCAGCAGTGCTACCCAGATTATACACTGATACTCAAACCATGTCGAGGCCTACATGAATGTGTTGTACAAAAGAACGAAGGACGCAGACACATCGCGTGCCACCACCAGTGTCGGCGGGCAAGGGACAGCGAAGCGGCGACTCAGTAATGCTGGAGCGCTATTCTTCCACTTACCAACAGCAGAGATCAGGTGGTGTCAGGGACGCGGGAACTGGAGAGTTCGGGGGAGGCTTAGTCTCAAATTCTCCAGACATTTAGCGTTAGCTTTATGGGCGCTAATTGGGGTAAATAGCTAACTCCCTCCTCTTCTTTGGGAGGGCTCCCATTGCCCCCGGCTGGGGCTTCGCTCGGCTCGCGTTTGATGTCGGGGTTATCACCAGGTTCTAACGCGTAATGGGTGGGAAAACTGATGATGTGAGGTGAACAAACAGGTGCCTAGAATAACGAAGGAAGGAAAAGGTCGCCTTTCCGCGCAAGGGGATCACGACGGGCGCGCCGGTGTTTCCGTGGTGGGATTGTACCCATTCCGGCCCCCCCCCCCCCCCCCCATCGGCCAAGGTGGGATGGTGTTTGTCACTCGGAACTTGCCACGGCAAATGTTGCATGCATATTTCTGAAGTTCTGAGGTAAAATGAAGTGGGCAAGGATCTGGTGCAATGCCTAATTATTCAAACCAATCATCTCAAATCAAAGTGGTTCCTCGTTATTGGACCCAAGTATAAATGCTCCTGATGAACACAAAGGCTGCGCACATGAGGCATCTGGACTACCAATCGGGCGCTTCTGTTATTGGCTTCGAAACATCGGTAAATTGTCATACGCGAGGGCGGGCGTTTGGGTCGGCGGTCTGAGGGGCTGTTATTGTCCTTGCGGACATGTTTGTGCACGCAGCAGGCTCAAATACGTATCAGGCTGGAGGTAAGTTGAAGCTGGAAGAATCAAGGTCATTGGCATTCCATACGAAATGCTTGTCTGGGTGTTGGTTTGTTGACAGTATCTTCCCAGCTTCTGATGTTTTGTTTTGGTGCGCGTTTGCTGGCTTCTTGATAGTATGCGTTGGAAGAATGCGCATTGAGGAGGCTTAGGTCGTAAAACATCAGCATATGAGTGCAGTCAATTTTCTTGTAAGATCCTCGATATTTCATCTCAGTTCATGATGCCTGTCATACTCCACATTGCTTATTATCTGGTTAATGGTAATTACCGATATGTGTCGTGGTGCACCATGTTCATTGATGAGGAACTCATGCTCATCCTGTGTTTTTTACAGATTATGTTTATTGTGAAGTGTCCCCCACAGATCCATACCAGGTTCGCAGAATTGAAGAACTGAAACAGGTGACAATTTAGGATGCCGCTGTGTGTCATATTTTGTGCCTGTTGTGTTGTTTTTAGCTTCAGCAATTGGAATTAACTATGAAAAAGACTAGAAGAGGGACCAATTTAATGGAAGTGTTTGTAACTTGCATTATGTTAGCAAAACCTGTGCAGACATTGGCAGATTGCATGTTAGTAAATAACAAATATTAACCATGCCTTGAATGCAAACATCATATTTTAACTGTGTGTGATGATGTGTTGTATTTGGGTATTTGTTACCACAGTTTTTTTATTTGGCTCAGTTAGAGGCTAAATGGATGCTATTTTTGGGGTATTTCACTTGCACAATGTAAACACAGGGAGGGGAGTTACGCCCATTTTAATCAGTGTGTTACCAGAATGGAGAAAGGGTTGAAAAATTGCCAAAAATGTAAAACATTCTATTGATATCCACAGTAAACTTTTCTTTTTTATCTTTTTCAGTGCTGTGTGTATGGTATTCAAACTTGATAAGCTGAGTGAGTGTAAAATGCACACTGAGAACAAACCACATTTGCAGAATACTGGCAGTGTTGTAGAAGCCAAGATGACGTGTCTGTACCGTCGTGGAGACATCCCATCATCTCTAATTGCATCAATAGGTGAGCTTTGGTTTAAGTGGTATGTATGTCCATTTACAGAAACATGCATTTTATTGCCCTCTGTCCACCAGCGATTGCACAAGTGATGCTGGTTTACTCTTCCACATGTGTGCAATGTTAGTTATATCATGTGAAACTGCAATGAAATTGATATTGAAACCAATGCAAATGAAAGAGCAAAATGCAAAACACATTCAATGAAGTGCAATTCATATGCTAAATCTGTGAAACGTTTGTTGCTTTCCAATGACATTCTCACAGGATTCAACTTACCATCGTGACCAGGTTCCATATGTGTGGCCCCAGATACCATAGAGCTGGATCGAGGTGGAGCCAAAGACGCTGGGTTTGGTGGCCGAAGCTCTCAGCCACGCCACTTGGTGGACCAGCGCGAGCTGTTCCCATCCCGCCAGGTGGAGACGCTGCCGGCATCATGCATCCGCGGCCGCTGCTTCGTCACCCTGCTCACCGCCTCAGAACAGGCAGAGCAGTACCTGGACCGCGAGGTGCGGACCTGGGAACCTACGGGTGGGTGGGGGGGGGGGGGGGGGGGGGGGGGGGGGGGAGAGGAAGGATCGGCGAACCAGGTGAAGTAGTGAAGAAGAACTCTGTTGGGAGTAAAGATGGGGTTCGCGTCGTCAGGCTCGCATTAGGGTGCCTTCAAGACATGGTTCAGCAAAGCTTCATCACATCAGGGCCTTGCATACAGCAAGGCAGGGGTACTTGGAGGAGGGTGTGCTGTGAACCTCACTGCATAGCATTGCATGCACTGGGCGAACAAATGAACCGGACGAATAATTTCGCACTGCTACCGGTACAACACTGACAGTTCGTTTATCACAAGAAGGAGGCACATGCCGTGCCTGCCCTGAGCACTCCCTGCCACCCCACCAGCACGTCATCAGTGTCTTGTCTCCCGCTGACAGGACAGCTTCTTCTACACGCTGCTGTATGACCCAGTGCAGCGCACCCTGGTAGCGGACCGCGGCGAGGTGCGGCTGGGTGAGCGCCACCAGGCGACAGTGCCGGCAGTCGGCGAGCCGGGCGCGGCGACCGGCCGTGACACGCTGCTCTGGAGCCCGCGCCACCGACTCACCGACGACCAGCTGGACCGGTTCCTGCTGCTGGCCCGGTCAGTGGGACAGGGACGAGGGGGTATGGTCTGTGGGGTTTGGTGCTGATATGCATGGTGAGGTGAAGTGGGCCAGACAAAGAAGTGTGATGTCGGAAAGTATGGTTTACTGTTATGCAGTGATTTTGTGTATGTGAGAGAAGCTTTGACTGATTTTGGTGTTTACATTTGAATTTGCATGCAGAAGTGTGGTTGGCCAAAATGTGATTGCCAACATAAAACCGCAATCGGATTTTGGGGTCGCAGCGATGAGCTAGAGGACGTGACAACGACTGTATGATGCGTCAGACGTCTGTCAGTCTGCGTTCAGAATGCAGAATGCATGCAGAGAGAGCACTCTGTGCCTGCCTTTAGAATACTGTTGTCCCTGCCCTCACAATACCCCAAGAGCAAACCTTCCACAGCCAGAGAGTGCTCCCTATGTTCACCTGCCCGCTGCACCGCCTTTCCTCCACATGCACCTACTACCCCCAGCATTGCCTTCTCTCCGCGTGCACCTAATGTCCCCAGCATCGCCTTTTCTCCGCGTGCACCTAATGTCCCCAGCATCGCCCTTTCTCTGCGTTCGCCTTCTGCCCTCCGCACCGCCTGTTCCGTATTCACCCGCTGCACCACCTTTTCCACGCGTGCACCTACAGTGCCCTCTGCAACGCCTTTTCCCTGCGTTTACCCCCTGCCCGATGCAGCGCCTGTTCTCCGCGTGCGCCTCTTCACCGGTGCACCGCCTGACAATGCGTGCTGCGCCGGTCGCCTCAGGTCGGTGGGCACTTTCGCGCGCGCGCTGGACTGTCCCGGCTCAGTGTGCCAGCCGAGCCTGCACCTGGCCGCCGCCGCCGCGTCCAGGGATGTGACTCTGGTGAGGTCCCGCCCTCCACCTGTCCGTGAGGCGAACCCCGACTCATTGATGCGGTTAACTTCAGTTGGGTGGCCGGCTCATCTATTACTGCTGCACGTAATCACATTTTGTATGTACTGAGCGTTAGATGCTTTGCTACATCTGTCATGTGTAAGTTGTCCGCAGAACTGTGGTGTGAGACAGGCTCTGGTCTGTCAGGTGACAGCCGACGGCTGGTGGCGGTTCGCATCGCGTGGAATGCAGAATCTTGCACGTGGCTGTGACCTGTGCCGGACCGTGCTGCGTCTGAGGTGTGCGACTCGGGATCCTGTCCGGCGTAACGGTCCGGACGCGCGGGAGTCCCCCGGGAGAGCGTGCGGGACTCGGGGCCGCCGGCCTGACCTCTGGGGCGCTCCGCCGCAGCTCCACGCCATGGACACTCTGCACCGGAGCGGGTACGACCTGGCGGCGGCGCTGGCGGCGCTGGTGCCGTCCGGCGGTGCCTCGCTGTGCCAGGACCAGCTGGAGGCCTGGTCCGCCGACGAGGCGGCCATCTTCGAGCGGGCGCTCGGCAAGCTCGGCAAGAACTTCGCGGAGATCAGGCGAGACTTTGTGAGTGCTGTATGGTGGAGGCTGGAAGGCTGAGGCTGCGGCTGTCTTGCTCAGACTTGGCTGTCGTTTTTGGCTGCCTGACAAATGAGTGCCTGTAATCGCAAGCTTCCTCGTGTGAATTTGTTTATATCGCAATGAAATGAAGCCGTTCGTTTTTATGCCGACCTTACTACCTGCAAAATGCGCTACCTTTGCTGAATTAATGCGTCTGCGTATATTTCCTTGCAACTTTCTGACATTGAGTGACAGTATGTATTTCACGTACCGCATTAAGTCGGCGTACACCTGACCGAAAAGCTCCGCGCTCCACCTTGCGACGGCTGGACCAGCCGTCGCAATGTGGAGCGCGCGGGCTGGGCGAACCCCTGGCCGCGATCCCCGGGCACTGACACCTTACGGCCCGTGCATTCGCTGACAGCTGCCTTGGAAGAGCACCGCCGAGCTGGTGGAGTACTACTACCTCTGGAAAACGACCGGCCGCTGTCTTCTGCGCCGGCGCGCCAAGGTGGCGGCGGCGGCCGCGCGCGCGCGCCTGGCGCGGGTGTGCGTGCCGCCGGCGCGACCGGCCGACGCTGGCGATGGCCCCGTGACCTGCGCTGAGGACGATGCCGGGCCGGGGCCGGCCTGTGCCGGCTGCTCCGGTCAGTGCGCGCGCCTCTGACGCTGGTGCGGGGCTGGGCGGGCCGGTTGGGTGGGAGCTGTGGTCAGGGGCGGAAGCGTTCGCATGAACATGTTCGGGACAACATGTTCGGGACAGGAGGTCAAGGCGAATAGTTATGTGGTAGTCGACTGTGCATCTAGCCACGGGCTGACACAAGGTGTTCTTGGGAAGTGTTTTGTTGTCCTGCTAATGTTTTTGCGTTTTTGTGGGACCAGCGTTTGGGGGGGGGGGAGGGGGGCAGCGTCTGACCGAATTACGGTCGGGTAATGTGCCCGGCACCCTCTCGGCATGTTCAGCCCGAGCTTTCTGATCGCCCAGCGTGCCCGGACCTCTGCCCTGTCCCATGTAAGCCCGCGCGGCGTGTGACTATGCTCCGTGGGCTGCCGCAGCCGTCAGCTCGGAGCGTTGGGTCGCCTGGGGTGCGGCGCGACTCTGCGCGCAGTGCTGGCTCTTCTGGCGACGCTACGGCGGCTTGCGACGGCGTTCGGCCTCAGGTACGGACGCAGCGCGCCGGCCGGGCTGCTGTGACGAACGGATGCTGCGACCGACGTGTTGCGCTAGCGAGCCCGCGGGAGGCTTGTTTGGCCACCGGCATTCTCACGGTCGGTTTGAGTGAAAGCCAGAGTGGTTGTTGTTTCGTCAGCTACCTGGGTGCAGGCATCTTGAGTGATTCCGGCCACATGTTTAGTCTCCAGCGGCGGCGGCCGATCGTCGAGATCGCGCCGGCGATCGTCATCTGTCATTCTGCGCGCAGCAGAGCGGCGATGCTTGCACTGGAGCGTTCACCGTCACCGTCGTCGCCCCCCCCCCCCCTCCCCCCGATCTGGACGCACAGCAGCCCCCACCTCACCAGTATGCTGTGCTCACAGAGCCGGAGCGGCAACCGGCGGCGGCGCCGGACCGAGGCGAGCCCGTCGCCGCCCGGATTCCGAGCCGGCGGTTCGCCGCGCCCGTGCCTCGTCGGCCTGGCGACCCGTTCCTGCTGGCGCCGGCTCCGGTCTGGCGCCTCTCGCGCCGCCTCTGCCGCCGCCACGTGCGACTGCGGCGGCTGGCGCGTGACCCGCGCCGCCACGTGCCCGTGGCCGCCGTGCACGCTGCGTGTGAGTGGTGACGTCAGCACGCGCTGGACGACGTACAGCGTGCGGAGTGGGAGGGGAGGAGGTGGGGGGGGGGAGGGGGGGGGGGGGGGGTAGGCGCCGCGTCCCATTGTCCCCTCCCGTGCTCTGGTACATCCGATCCAGCGTACGCTTGTAGCGCAGTTGCGAGGGGTTTGACGGAGTCGGGCGGGTCCGCTGTAGCCGTGGCCTGATCGGTCCGGTTGGAGCTGACGCCGCGTAGTTGTAGCCGGAGTCTGAGTTACCCTGCCCTGGCGGCGCCCTGAGTTGACCTGCTGTGACGGGATTGGGCCTTAGCTGCGGCCTCTGTGGCGGGCTTCGGTTGAGGTTCGTTTTTGTTTTGATTGCATATGGTCGCTCCATATATGCCTTGCCGCGGTGTGCGGTGCAAACCTGTTGCCTCTGATGGGATGCGGAAACCCTATGCTCACCTGACCACCGGACCCTCCCTCTTTCCGTGGAGACCAGTCTGTGCTGTACTGAACACGTCCGTGATCCCCTCATGTGAGTGCATGCGTTGCCGGGCGCGGCCCCGACCGGGCGTGTGCGTGTGCCGACTCCGGCGGCCGGCCCGGCAGGCCTGCAGCAGATGACGGAGCTGCCCGAGGCGGAGCTGGCCCGGCGGATGGCACCGCGGCCGCGGCCGCACCGGCGCGGCCTCAGTCAGCTGCCGTGGCTGGCCGGCGGGCGGCTGGACCGGCCTGACTGGCTGACCGGCGAGCGGTCGGCGTCGCCGCCGCGGCCGACAGGCTTGCCTTCCTCCGACCGCCGACGGCGCTAGGTAGGGGGACGCAGGCGCCCGAGGCCTGTCCGGGGCCACAGGGACCGGTGCTCATGGGGCTCCTCTGCGGCTGCCCTGTTGCGAATCCGGATATCCCATTGCTGTCTTCTATGCATTGAGACTATACCGGTACTGGCTGGGATATTTTTAGCGCCGAGCCATGACTGGAATGATTGGACAGTTAAGGTACCCATTGAACAATTATCCCACCTAGCGCAAACGCAAGAACTCAGACATTTCGTTATTTAAGGTAGCAGTGTGCAGTGCAGGGTTCCTTTGAGAACTGAATGGCATAATTTATATATGCGCATAATTTTGAAATGTTGCCTGGACTTATCGTAAATCAAACCGCATTTGAGCGCGATATTCTGTTTTCTGATAGGCCGACTTCTGCTGCTGCCTTTGGTTTCCCGTCGGCACGGTGCGGCCACGGCAATAACGTTAGTTGGCCGCCTTCTCCACAGATGGCAGCTTCATCTACACCCCGAAGGGCAAGTTTCAGCTGGCGTGGAACGTGACGCTCCCGAGGAAACGGTCGTGTGAGGAGACGAACAGTTTGCTGGGTGAGGTCCGGGGGTGGCAGTGTCGAATGGGCGAAGGTGTGTGCTTCGCTACGTGCCATGTGTGTCCCGCGCCGCCTCGCTGCGTCTCTCCCCGCGCCGCCTCGCCGCGTCACTCCCCGCGCCGCCTCGCTGCGTCACTCCCCGCCGCCTCGCCGCGTCGCCCGCGCGCTCGCCGCGTCGCTCCCCGCGCCGCCTCGCCGCGTCAGCTCCCGCGCCGCCTCGCCGCGTCACTCCCCGCGCCGCCTCGCCGCGTCGCTCCCGGCCGCCTCGCCGCGTCGCTCCCGCGCCGCCTCGCCGCGTCGCTCCCCGCGCCGCCTCGCTGCGTCTCTCCCCGCGCCGCTTCGCTGCGTCACTCCCCGCGCCGCCTCGCCGCGTCGCTCCCCGCGCCTAAAGCCGTCAGGCCATTGATTTTGTTTGAGCAGCCGCCCTTTTGCGCGAGTAGCTTTCCAGCCCTAGACAGAGTAGTGCTAACCGTGTTAAGGCTATCCAGTGTCTCAGGGAACCTGTTTCACTGTTGTTGGTTGACTTGATCTGCCGTGACCCTGGCACGTGTGCATTGATTTAAACAGTGCCGGCTATGGGTTGATCAACGCCAGCAAGTTGTAGGCTCAATGATTGCATGTCAGTTTTGTCTTGTCTGTCCGGCGACCTGCTTGCCAACTGTCAGTTTTGTTTCGTTTGGTTACAGTCATTTTGCACAGGCTGTTAAAGTGGACGTTAAACAGTCCACTCTGAAACTCGTTCGGTCCTGGCCTCGATATATGCTTGTGACACGGTTTGATCTGCTGACGTTGACTTGTGTGCCGTACACGGGAATGCTTCACCCACAGCTTGCACTGCATCACAGCACACTATTTCGGAGCACTGTGTTTTTGTCTACACTAAGGGATAAGTGATGGTATAGATACTTCACGGCCTTGTCAAGACTAACTCTGAATCTATAAGTAGAGATAAGGAACAAGGCCAGCTTGCGTAACTTGGAAACAATACGATAACGCGGCATTTTGTGCGTCTGGTGTCTGCGGGTGTGTACCCTCATCTGTTGTCCTCCGCCGGGTCTGCGTGACGCATGGACTCTCCGGGCCGAGATGAGAGGCCTCTCGCCCCGTCTCTGTCTGTGTGACGCCTGGACTCTCCGAGCTGAGATGAGAGGCCTCTCGCCCGTCTCCGTCGGTAACGCTGATCGCGCCTGGACTCCCCGAGCCGAGATGAGAGGCCTCTCGTCCCGTCTCCGTCTCCGTCTGTGTGACGCCTGGACTCCCCGAGCCGAGATGAGAGGCCTCCCGCTCTGTCTCCATCTGTGTGACGCCTGGACTCCCCGAGCCGAGATGAGAGGCCTCTCGCCCGTCTCCGTCTGTGTGACGCCTGGACTCCCCGAGCCGAGATGAGAGGCCTCTCGCCCCGTCTCCGTCTGTGTGACGCCTGGACTCTCCGAGCCGAGATGAGGGGCCTCTCGTCCCGTCTCCGTCTGTGTGACGCCTGGACTCCCCGAGCCGAGATGAGAGGCCTCTCGCCCCGTCTTCGTATGTGTGACGCCTGGACTCCCCGAGCCGAGATGAGAGGCCTCCCGCTCCGTCTTCGTCTGTGTGACGCCTGGACTCTCCGAGCCGAGATGGGAGGCCTCTCGTCCCGTCTCCGTCCGTGTGACGCCTGGACTCCCCGAGCCGAGATGAGAGGCCTCCCGCTCCGTCTTCGTCGGCCCGGAAGCCTGTGTCTCTCGTCTCCCCCTGTGACCTGGCCCCTTTCCGTCGTGTGTTCGCTCATGTTACGCCGCAGGGTGCGATCCTGAGCCGCGGCTAGTGCGGCGCCGCTTGCCCGTCACTCTGTTGCATCCTGAGGCAACCTGGGTGGGCTTGCGACATACGGCCGAGTGATGGATCGTCTCCGCGCCAAACAGGGCTGTTCAACCGGTGACTGTTCGCCATATGAAACGTAAATATTTGCACGAGTGGTTATGTATGTGTCAACGATTTATTGCAAGCTGCTGGTCATGCAACATGCGACGGAAATAAGTAAGATCACACAGGTTTGCCTAGCTATGCGTATTGTGCTCCGGTAGGCTATGGCCAGGTACATTCACACAAGCCGCGCAAAATATGACCAGCCATCAGATAAACAGCTGACACAAAACCTGAAGGCTGTTCATATTTTGCGCGTGCTGCATTGCTGCGTCTAGCTGTCGCTCAGTACCCTGCACAGCGAGCCCGCTGTGAAAGCACTTTCGGATGCATGTTTTGACTTCACGACGAAGACGCGCCCTAAATGACTGTGTTGTGAATAAAGGCTTCACTGCGTCTGTGCCTGGCGAAAGCCCCTGTCTTAATGTGCGCCATCTGCCGGTCTGCTGCAGAGACCGGCCAGGACACGGCGGTCGTCTGTCTTGAGGCGCGCTCGGAGAGCAGCCGGGGACTCCTTTCGTGACGTCACCGCGCCCCGCCGGGCCTCCGGCATGACGTCACCGCGCCCCGCCGGGCCTCCGGCGTGACGTCACCGCGCCCCGCCGGGCCTCCAGCGTGAGGTCAGCCGCGGCCTCAGGCGCGCTGGTCGACCGTCACGAGGACGCTCCTGTCTCCGAGAAGCGTGGCGAGCTTGTGCCGAGATCGCGTCTTGAGAATCGTTACAGGATTGGGATTGGTGTGGGAGGCTCGTGCTGCGTGGGTGTGGGCGTCTGGAGATTTCATATGCTTTTTATGTGTGTTGTTCTTATCTGAGCTAATGGCAACTGGTGAGAGCCCGAACAAGCTACAGGGACGGGCCGGCCAACGTTATCCGAAGCGGTGAAGGCGGATAACAATCTGCTGATCGCGCGTGGCTCCCATCCGCCAACGTCAGTTTAGAGCTGTAAAGCGGACACAGCCTGGGAGCCGTTGGCCGACCAATGGGCGTGACACTTCCCCGGCACATCGGACACTGCGGGCAGGCCGCCCCGCCAATGCCTGTCGTGCCCTTGCTGGTCACTCGCGCCGTCTTCCGGTTGTCGCCGGCCCGGGTGCCCGGTCGGGGCCGGTGCAGCCCGCCCTGCCGCCTGCGCTGAGACACGTCACCCGCCGCGCCCGTGCCGGCAGTGTGCGCGCTGCACGCGCCCAAGTCCAAAACGCGCTCGCGCCTAATGCAGTTTTTCCGTGCGTGCGTGCGGACGGCGTCGGTGTCGCTCGGCGAGCTCGTGACTGTCGTGGGGTGTCGCCGACAGCAGAAGACGGCAGCAGGGGGTGTCTGTTCGGCGGTCGATGCCGTCAGGGTCGCGCTGTCGGCGGCGTCAGCTGCGCGTCGTGCCAGGAACTTGTCGCGGCGCGCTTGTGCTCGTCCGCCGTGTTGCTTATATTGCGTCGAGGTATGGAGGCGTCGTTATGAGCATGTGTAGGACGTTGAGTGAGCAGCGTGCGGTTGAGTACAGTTCAGTCTGGTCGGAACAGCTCGCCAGGTTTTGAGTTCTGTGGACTGCGGCTCAGATAACACCGAACCAACTAATGATCGAGGAGACTTACTGCGGGTGAAGGCATTGGTCGACCCTTAGCGTACTTGTTTTATGTGCCCATAATGACTCCCGAATGTGTGACTAAATAAGGACAACCAGAAGACACCACACATGTCGCGGAAAACCAGCTCCGTTGTGCCGTTCGCCGAACCTCGATGACTTGATTCTACAGAGAAAGATATGGCAAATGACTGGCACACGCTGATCGCGGTCTGTTTTTCAGCGCACACCAAGCGATGACCATTCGCACCACAGACCCAGTGTCAGAACTGTGTGATCAGCCTATGATGACGCTCGTAAATGACGTCAGTTGAATCGACCGAACCACGCAACAGCCTCCGCAAGATGGCGACGGGTGTCGCACTTTTGTAGCGCGTTGACAGGCCGATATCTTGAGTCATCAGCAAGATAGCGATACTTTTCACGCTTAGGTTGCGTGCTGACCGACTGATACTCTGATTCACCAGTCTGGAGTCGCACCGCCCTGACTATGCCGTTGGCTGTCGTTCATGCGACGTAATTGGGGGTCTTGCCAGGATCGAACGCCTGGGGTTCAATCGACGATCGGGAGACAAACTCCTGATGTGAGAGGTAAACTCCTCATGTGGGAAACAAACTCCTGGTGTGCGGAACAAACTCCTGCTAGGGGTTTTGCGTGCGGGATCTGAAGGATGGGAAAGCAAGCCATTTGATCAATAAGATGATCCCTGTTTCCTTGGCTTGCACCAGTCCTGAACTACCCCCGGTTACACGTTCGCACGTGTATGCAGACGAGCAGGGGAACACACAGGTGTTGCACGATCCAGCGTGGTTTGCGTGTTGATCAATCAAACCAAGTTCATTGCGCGATCAGATAAATTCAGCCTACGAAATTGGGGAACGGGTCATCAAGGATCTATCTGTAACCACCAGCTGGGATATTTCCACATCACGAACTGACACTCAGGAGATGACATTGTGGGACGGCGGTGGACGGAGGACGGAACACCCGGCTGACAACACCCGGACGGTGGTGATCGGGACAGGGTTAGTGGAGGGCGAGGGGGGGGGGGGGGGGGGGGGTTAGGTAACTGGTTCTCAACTCCGGGCAAACGCATAGCATTGACCCTATGGCGGCTCATGGACAGAAACAAGGCAAAAATCGCGTTCGTACGCCAGAGAGGCTCCACCGACATTGGGCTGGAGGAATGACAGCGGTTCGGGTGGCGGTGTTTTTCCCGGACTGAGACTGCTAGAATAGGGATAAATGAAGCTCACCGGAGGGGCCTCAGTGTTCAGGAAATTGAACTTCCGGTCCCGAAGCGACCATGTGTCTGCTCTAGCGGCACTTCGAGGACTACGGACAGGGTCTAGACGCTTGCGCTTGGATGCTCGTGTTTTAAGAGACCATTTGTCTGTCTTTTGGGGGCGGGTTCGACTAAACTTGCACTGAGAGATTGGTAACAACTCTGTATGAAAGCGGTTGTCGGAGTTATTTTGACACCGCTATTGCGTGCAGAGTTACGGTCCTTGGATGACTATCCTCTCTGCGGATGAAGCCATGCGGGTGTTTTGGAAACCGACAAAATCGCTGATTATTGTATAAGGACTGTTCAGCTGCGTGAAATGTCGGAAACCGTGGGCGATCCGATTTTGTGGACTTGTTTCTGGCCGTAAAACTATTAAAATAGTATGATTATATGATGTGTATTTGTTAGTCCACCACACCACCATGCGACCCCATGGCATGTTCGTCTGCCTCGGTCCTCCATCTTGTGGATGGGTGCAACACCACTTATTCTGCGTGTCCTGCTCCTGGCTGATGTTTGATGCTGGCAGTTCCCTTCTACACTGAACGGTACCTATACACCGAACGGTACCTCCCCTTCCTCACCGAATGGTACCTCCCCTTCTACACCGAATAGTAACTCCCCTTCTATACCGAACGGTACCTCCCCTTCTACACTGTACCTCCCTTCTACACCGAACGGCACCTCCCCTTGTACACCGAACGGTACCTCCCCTTATACACCGAACGGTACCTCCCCTTCTACACCGAACGGTACCTCCCCTTCTACACCGAACGGTACCTCCCCTTCTACACCGAACGGTACCTCCCCTTCTACACCGAATAGTAACTCCCCTTCTATACCGAACGGTACCTCCCCTTCTACACTGTACCTCCCCATCTACACCAAACGGTAACTCCCCTTCTACACCGAACGGTATCTCCCCTTCTACACCGAACGGTACCTCCCCTTCTACACCGAATAGTAACTCCCCTTCTACACCGAACGGTACCTCCCCTTATACACCGAACGGTACCTCCCCTTCTTCACCGAACGGTACCTCCCCTTCTGCACCGAACGGTGCCTCCCATTCTACACCGAGCGGTACCTCCACTTCTAAACCGTACCTTCCCTTCTACATCGAACGGTACCTCCCCTTCTACACCGTACCTCCCCTCCTACACCGAACGGTACCTCCCTTCTTCGCCGAACGGTACCTCCTCTTGTACACCGAACGGTACCTCCCCTTCTACACCGTATCGCCCGTTCTACACCGAACGGTATCTCCCCTTCTACACCGAACGGTACCTCCCCTTCTTCACCGAACGGTGCCTCCCCTTCTACACCGAACGGTACCGCCCGTTCTACACCTAACGGTGCCTCCCCACCTGCACTGAATGGTACCTCTTTTTCTATACCGAACAGTACCTCTCCTTCTGCATCGAACGGTACTTCCCCACCTGCACCGAACGGTACCTCCCCTTCTAACCGAACGGTGCCTCTCTTCT